CACAACCAAAAAAAACCCCACAAGCATTTTCTTTCTAGTTATAATTTTTAAAAATATATTTCACAAATAAACAGAGAAAGATGTTATAGGAATAGGACTGATGTTTTCAGTAAGTAGAAAACTGAGCATTGGCATTTAAACCCTTTACAGTTGCTGCACAAGGTTTTCAATCTTGTGAGATCGAAAAGACTGAAAGATTGAGTGAAAGAGATCTATCTGATGCAAACTCTCCTGGTCCGTCTTACAAGGAACCTGAGATTGGTTTCCAATCTCCAATCTGCCTGTTCGTAGCATTGTCCAGCAATGGGATGAAGCATTTTGTTTCCCAAAGAGTCTGGGAAATTTCTCCCTAACACCCAAATTGCACGTAACAGACTTCTTCTAGTTTTCCCCGCTGACACTGGGGTGATCTTCATTTTTTTCTTTTTGTGTACTCTATCAAATCGTATTTGACTGGCACAGGATGAGATTGCCTCCCCTTCTCTAGCACTGCATCTGGTGGATTCAAACTGGACACCTTTCGGATCGCACTACAGCTTCCTTGCAACTAGGCCACTGGAACTTCCTTTCCAGTTCACCTTTTAATATTCATTCACTGTTGCACCGTTTCTTCTCTCCTCTTCTTTGTCCTTCTCTGATCCAAGCTGCATTGTACCTCTTTCCCTGTTTGGCTGTCATACATATCCTGCCTAATCACTGATGGCTTTTAAATAGTTCTTGCCTTCATCTGTTCTAATGCACTGTTTATTATCTGTACACATTTTTAATATTCTCATCATAATCCCCCAAGTTAGACATACTTTAGAACAGAGAAGCATAGAGTATAAGGTATACTAACACAGTACCTTTGCTTTTATGTATGTACTTATACCTGCATGGACTATTCAGTGATCTCAAATATCAGGTGATTGTCAAACCATATGGAAAATCAACCCAAAACCTAAAATATTCCAATGATTCACTGTTATCTCAAACATCAGGTGATTAGCAAACCACATGTAAAATCAACACAAACCCTAAAATACTCCCAGGATATACAATTCTAGAGATGAGAGAAGTAAATCCACCAATAAAAGACTTTTCTGATTAACATCATTGGAGAGTGCTTAAAGAGTTAGGGGGCTCGTCAGCCTAAGCCCTACATTAGTATTTTAATGAATATATTTTTTCTGGAGAAGTTATTTAATAAACTAGTATGAGTTTACTCTTTTTTTAATTAAATTTTATTAATTTTAATGAATATTTACAGAGATTTGGGGTTTCCATTCATTCATTGTTGCACTGTTTTCTCTAACCCTCCTCCCCAGTTCATTCTTCTTCCCCCCCCCGAAAGTCTGTTTTAATTGTCCAATTGCCACAGTGCTTGTCAAAGCCAGTTCTGATTAATCTCCTTTGTCAGTGTGTCCTTTGCCATTCCCTATCACTCCTCCCTGAGAGAGACTTCGCCCTGATTCATAAGAAAAAGGGACGGCGTATTCTCTTAGCTACTTCCTGCTGGAAAGAGACGCTGTAGGTTTCAGGGTGAAGATCTTCTCTCACTACTCTAAAGGGCCCCTTTGGTAATAGGAAACACATAGACTATTATGGAGATTGATTTTGGAATTTAGATGCACCATTATCAGCTGTGCTTAGCTGTGCATGTTCATATCCTTGAAGATGTAACATGGAAGTGTTGCAGCCTAGAAGACACAAACTTAACTAACAAGTTAAAAGTACATGACTCAAAAATCGAAAAGCAGTAATATTTCAGGTAGAGGCTCTAATAGTGGCACAAATCATACAACCCACAGTTATCACAGTACAGCAAACTGACAGACAAGCGCTGTATCACTTAGCACAGACTCAAGGCACGGTCTTTCCAATCACTTTCTATGCACCTGACTAAGAGAAGAACGAAGAATTGGGATGACAGAACTCACATGATAAAATTCAAATTCAAGCACTCATAATTGAGAAAAAGATGAAACAATTCCCTGCAAGAATCAATGGTAGCCTTGGAAAGCACACTGGCATGGTCACACTGGACTCCTACCAGGTGGAATTGATTTCATGATAATGGGTTTATATTGTATTTGTGAATACTCACCAGTGACTCATAAAACAGGCTTAGGGATCTCCTTCTTGTAAAATTCAGCTTTGGAGACACTGGAGAACAAATACTTGTAAAAGATATTGACCAGAATACAGCTTGGTATACCGCAGCAGGAATAGTGTATCCAAACAGTGGGCCTCACTTCTGATGTCTTCTTTTTGAGTATAGATGCCGACTGTCTCTGTTCTCCATTCACAGATGCCACTGCCAAGGTTAAAGGTAGTACTGTCCACTGAGGTCACTCCCATGAGGAACCCCTTCCTGGACAACTTAAGGACCTAGGAAATAAGAGTCTTAAGGTTGTTCACTACAGTTAAATCTTCATTTGAGTAAGAGAACTAACACGTGTTCCTTCAAGATTGTCCAGAGCTGACAGAACTGTGCAGTGTGCGATCTTAGGTTTTATTTGTTTGCATTGAAATCTATTTAAAAAAAATTCTATTTAATTCAATGTTACACCTCTGGGATTTCACAGAAAGCTTGTAAACCACACTGGTTTTCCAGATAATCACTCATGGGTTGTGATGACCAATGAACGATGAGAATGAACTTTTAAATATATTTAAGGAAACTAACTGCATAGTGTTATTTGTTAACTGGTTATTTGTCCCACATCCCTCACAACGATAAGGTTTCTCTCGTGGGTGAATTCCTGGATGTACAATTAGAGCAGAAAGTGGAGAAAAATGTTTCTGACCAACCTTACATTCCTAAGGCTTCTCTCCTGTGTGAATTCTTGCATGCACAGTCAGAGCCCAACGTTGAGAAAAAGCTTTCTGACAATCCTTACATTCGTAAGGTTTCTCTCCTGTGTGAATTCGTGTATGTATAATGAGAGAACCACGATGAGCAAAGGCTTTCCCACATTCCTTACACTCGTAAGGTTTCTCTCCCGTGTGAATTCTTCTATGTTGATTGAGACAAATTGGATTACGAAAGGTCTTCCCACATTCCTGACATTCATAAGGTCTCTCTCCTGTGTGAATCCTAAGATGTCGAATGAGTTCACGTGACTGGCCGAAGGTTTTCCCACATTCCTTACATTCATGAGGCTTCTCTCCCGTATGAGTTCTTCTATGTGTAACGAGGCTATGTGGGCGGGAAAATGTTCTCCCACATTCTTCACATTCATAAGGTTTCTCTCCTGTATGAATCCTTCTATGTAGAGTGAGGCTATTTGAGCGGGAAAATGTTTTCCCACATGCCTCACATTCATAAGGTTTCTCTCCTGTATGAACTCTTCGATGTAGAACGAGGCTATCAGAGCGGGAAAAAGTTTTCCCACATTCCCGACATTCAAAAAGTCTCTTTGCTATATGAGCTCTTCTATGCAAAGTGAATGGACCTGATTGAAAAAATATTTTCCCACATTCCGGACATTCATAAGGTCTTTTTCCTGTGTGAAATCTAAGATGGCGAGTGAGCTCAGATGGTTGGCCAAAGGTTTTCCCACATTCCTTACATTCATAAGGTTTCTCTGCTGGATGAATTCTTCTATGGGATGTGAGACTACTTGGGTGGGAAAATGTTTTCCCACATTCCTTACACTCATAAGGTTTCTCTCCTGTGTGAACTCTACGATGGTGATGGAGTGAAGTGGATTCGTGAAAGGTCTTTCCACATTCCTTACATTCATAAGGTTTCTCTCCTGTGTGAATTCTTCTTCTATGGGCAGTGAGTTGACTTGATCCATAAAAGGTTTTCCCACATTCCTGACATCCATAAGGGCTCTCTGCCGTGTGAATTCTAGCATGTTTCCTGAGAAAACGTGAATAGCGAAAGGTTTTCCCACATTCTTTACATTCATGAGGTCGCTCTCCTATATGAATTTTTCTGTGTTCAGTGAGGTGAGCTGATTGTGAAAATGTTTTTCCACATTCCTTACATTCATGAAGTTTCTCTCCTCTGTGAATTCTAGGAGGTTGAGATCGGGTAAAAATTTTCCCACATTCCTTACAAGCGTAAGGTGTCTCTCCTCTATGAATTCTTCTTTTCTCACATTCCTTACACTGATTGGGTTTCTCTCTTTTGTCAGTTTTCCTAGGTTCAAAGAGGTCATGTGATCGAGGCAAGGTTTTCCCACATTGCTCACGTACAAAATGTATCTCTCCTATGTGATTTCTTCCCTGTGGCGTGATCTCACTTGATTGTGAAAATGCTTTCACACATTCTTTGCTTTCACTGGGTTTCTCTGTGACATGTGTCCTTGAATATTTCCTTAGATGTAAAAAAGAAAAAAAAAACCAGATTTACCACATGTGTGACATTGATACAGCCTATCTACACGGAATTTTTTCCATTTGCTCTGATCTGTCAATGTCCTAGTACAGGTGGAGAGGAATAATAAGTCTCCCATTTTCTGTACCTTTATAAAGCTGATAAAAAATACTAAGTGTTCTTTGAAAAACTAAAGGAAATGTATTTATTGAAGTTTTCCATCTTTCTGTACATTCCCAATAGTCCTCCACCTGCATCCACAGGGACGAGAAGGGACAGAATTCTTGGCTACGTTTGTCACATACAATGTGTGGTCTCAGCAAGGTGAGTCCATAACAGGTTTACATCTAGACAATTTCCTTCCAAACATGGAAGATTGTAAGTTCTGATGCAGCTTTCATGGGTGATTCTGTGCAACCCCTTCATATAGGTTCTGTACTGTTTGATGTCTTGTAAAAAACACACAACACTAAGCTGTAAGTGTGCTCTCTTGGGCCAGTAGTAACACAAAATGAAGGCGTAAGGGTTTTCCCTTAGGACTCTACAAAGTCAAAATCTAGCAAAGCTACTGCTCCTGTATTTACTTTTATAAATCTTAAAATGTTTTGATGGCTGTCTCAAAAGTCACTGTTTCCTACAAGGTTTTGGAAGATATTTTTTTGTTTGTTTGTTTGTTTCATTTGATTGAAACTCACCTAAAGTCATCATCTTGGTTTTCTTCTAAAGCTTCTTTGCCACGCAATGTTGACATCTGTTGTATAATGGAAGACCAACGTGGGCTCGTCATTAAGAAGTTCATCTGTGTATATTCATGGAATAACGCCTCTCGATCACTCAAGTTTTGAATACCTGCCAAGATCCAAGTACAACAATATAAAACCCAAACCAACAGAAGTCATAGAGGACAGACATCTGTGAAAAAACAGTAACGTAAGTCTACTTTTCAAATTCAGTATATTAACAAAGGATAAAAACCTATAAAGTTACTGGAAAAATGAAAGGAATCATGACCTAATTTGCTTTCCTCAAGGTCGGTAAACAGAAAAATGACGCACACAGGACACATGTCAGATCACAGAGTACACACACACATACACCACACAGTACACAGAAAAGCACAGAGAACACACACCACATCAGAGAGTACTTCACAGAGCAGACACACAACATCTCAGAGTACTCACACAAAGTCACTGAGTACTCACCTATCACACAAAACACACACAATAGGACAGAGTACACACATGACACAACATACACAAGAAAAGGAAGTACCCAGAAAACATCACATAGTACTGTGGGATGCCGGAGATCGATTAAAACTAGTTTTGACAAGGACTGTGGTGATATAGCAATAGAAACCGACGCTTAAGGAATGCAATACAAGCTATATAAGAACAAAAACAGACTCAAGGAACACCCAACCTGAATCCTTCTGATGACACAGAGAATTTTGGAAGTATTTTTATGAACTTCCTTTGCTTAATTGCTTGTATTTGTTTGATTATATATACAAGATGAAGAGAACAAAAACCAAGCAAGAATCAGTCTTGAAGAAAAGAAATCATGCTCGTCTAGATGACCACAAAATTATAATTTAAACAAAAGCGAGGAAATGTGGGAAGCCTAATATCAAATTTAACACTAATAACAAACCAATGTTATGTCTGGATAAGAGGGAAGTTGATACAAGCTGGAATTCACAGTGTAGCACTAAAGCAATTCTTAAATGTTTACAAAGGTAGGCATTCAGGCAATTCTTAAGAGTCTACATAGTTCTTAGTTTGTATTTACTGAATCCTCCCTCCTGAGTTAAGCATAAGGTCAACAACAGAGAAGAATTCGACCTCAATTGCGAAAGATTTCTCTTTGTGATCTACTTCCCCATGAACCTTCCTTTTTTTTTTTACTTCCTGTTGATTCTTTATAAAACCAGAGACAGGTGTATCATAAACGTTGCAATTCTCCCAGCTAATAGCCTCTTGCCTTCAGGTTTTCTAGCCTCACTCACCCTTCCTGTGTGCTCCCGTCTTGGTCATTTCCTTTAGCCAACAACACAATACAATCCCACAAATCACACAGAACACAAAGATATCACCAAGTACAGACACATCACCCAGTACACAGAAAATAAGACACAGTCCACACAACACCACAATGACAGGACTGTGCACACAGAAAAAAAACCTGCACAGTACGGCTGTCTCTTCAAACAAACAAACAAATAAACAAACAAGCCTTTTTCTACTTCTTGCACGGTAATGCAGACAATGAGAATAATCTTAAGCAAATGAACACTCGACCAATGCACTGGCCCAAACTGAGTGTCAATCCCAATACCCAAAGACATTTCCCCTCCAACCTCTGCCTTCAGAAGTTGATGTACACACCTCAAGAGTTACAGAAAAGAATCCACTTAATGTCACAAAAACAAAAGTTGAATCATAGAAAGTTGCCTAAATAAGAAACTATGCACATGTAATTGCTAAAAGACAAGTGCCCACGCATATCCTATTGAACAGAGAATTTCAATTTTTTGGTGCAAATTAAAAAGCACAGTTCAAACACTGGGACAACCTTATGTGTGTTAAGAGGACTCTAAAAGGTATAAAAAGATACTTTTACCTATGAAGTCCAGACTTTTCACCGTTTCCATCATCACGTCCATGTAGAGTTTCTTTTGGGCAACGCTGAGCAAAGCCCACTCTTCCTGGCTGAAGAGAATGACTACGTCCTCGGACAACAATGGCTCCTAAAACACACAACATCTTCAGGATCAGAACGGTACCATGTCCCCCAATGGTTACAAGAACAAAACATGACACGGAAAGACTGAGAAAGCAAACAAATGCTACGTATATCACAAAATTCTATTTGGTAACATGGTTTAGTCAGGGAATCAGACTTCTGCCTTGTTCCTTGACATATTACATTCAGTACTTCAAGGATGAAATTTTCTCCAAAGGACTCACTACACACTGAAAAAAAAATCTGTCAATACTGCCAGCGCAAATGTTTATACACATGCAAACAGTAGACACATGTTTGACATTTGAACATCTGTCTGTAAGGAAAACCAGCTCATCTCCCTTATGATCGTCTGCCTCTGAAAACAAGCAGGAGGGTCCATTGTCAATCCATTCTCACGCCAAATGACTGCCTCTCACTCTGTACTGACACAGAAGAAGAGGTTAAAGATTAATTGTGAATGCAGATGGTCTGCATTGTAAAGAGGAGCTGTCTGATCAATGTAGGGCCAGGTCCAAATTTGCAAGTTCTTGGGAATAATTTGCATAAAAGGTTTTAGGCACCACATTCCTCAAGCAACCAGTAAGACACATTCACACACGAGACTAAGCAGGCGGCCTATTTAGATTCGTGGGGACTCCTATTCCACACCTCTGAATACCGTGATCTCTCCTCTGACACAACCAGTCAGAAGACAACAGTTTGAATGTGGCCCTGAGTAACAACAAGTCACTCCAGGAAGGGAGATAGCGGTGTCTCTCTCCCCTCAATATCTCTGTAAGATACCTATTCACACAGATTTTGTTGACAATGTTGGGTATGAACAGTGAGAGTATTAGCCTTTTGAGTTACTTGTGTAATTCCTAAGTGTTCTGACCACCACAGCCCTAAAATATCTGGAAGCCTGGGCATCCACTGAGAAAGGATGACATCAAATGACCAGGACACCTTGAACAGCCCTCATGATCTTGGAGCAGACGGAAGAATATGAACAAAGAAATGTGGTGCCAAAATTAGTTCCAGGACAAAATGAACAAGGTGCATGAAAAAAAAGGGCACTGAAGTAGCCAGGGAAACGTACGTGTTATTAGAAATACGCCAAATGGTCTAGAAAGTGAAGCTGAGTGAAAACGGTAGCCCAAGACTTTAACCCACTGCCATCAAGTAGAAAACAAGCGACAGTGCAGTTGCTTTTGAGGATGGAAAGTTCACTAGTATAAAAGTCCATCCCTCTCTCATGAAGCTGCTCAAAGAACAGAAAGGTCTCTGCTTAAGTTCAGCATCACCCCTGGTTACAAACGATTCCTCCAGGGATCTCACTGAAGACTACAATGAATAGACAAAATTTCTGCACATGAAACACTATTTTTGAACAGATGCAGAAGAAGAAGGAAGTAGAATAGGAATATATCTTTGTCCACACACCTGTAAGCTTAAAGATAAAGCTGTGGGAAAGTGAACAACAGAAGGCCCATAACAATAAACAGGGCAGGAAAAATCACAGACAATGCTCTGCTGGTGTCACGGAAGAAGTTGGGGAAGAAGGGATGGCCTCTGGCCAGGATGGGTCACGTGAACCCAAACAGGTGCAAGCCTCCCAACGGCCTTGAATACGGGCTAGAGAAAGCTTCCCTGTGTTGGGCTGTACCGGCTCAAGAAAGCTCGCCACCTGGGAAGACGGCTGCGGCGTCTGTTGAGCCGGGAGTGATCTGCATGAGGCAGAGGTTCTCCTGACCAACGTACATGTCCCAAGTCTTTAAGGCCAACCTATCCTGTCTTCCTGTGTATATAAGGGCACTGCTTATCTCAATCAAGTTGAGCTGGATTGACTCTCTGATCCTCTGTACTGTGCTTACTCTCATCAAGGTGTCGCTGTCAAGTCACCCGCAAACGGACAGCAACATTCGCAGTCATCTCCAGGTTTAGCTCAAAAGACCCTGCTTTAAAATTAGAGAGTCAAGACCCAGGTGGAGGAGAACATCCCAGGATGCTAGGTCTTTTTAGACACATAAAAAAGTGACCTTGGGGAGTAGTCAACATGGCGGCGGCAGTAAGACACTTATCTAGAGTTTTGCTACAACATCGGAGGCATAGTCTTTCCAAAACAGCTTTTCAGGTATCTCTTTCTCCTTGTTCTGTGAACATTCAGGTGCCCAACAGACAGTTTGCTGCTGCTACAAAGCCTGCCAGAAAACAACAAAAAGACACTAAAGAGAAAACTCTAGAAGAACTAAAAGATGAGATAGAAAAAATAAAGTGTTATTGCTACATGGAAGGTGAACCTGAAGATGATGTTTATTTAAAACGCTTATACCAAAGGCAAATATATGAAGTGGACAAAGCTGTTCAGCTACTTAAGAAATTTCAAGTACTGGACTTTACTTATCCAAAGTAAGGTGTTTATCTTGATTTGACACTTGATATATCACTACAGAAGAAGAAAAGAGTGGAGCCATTTGCCGGTGTTCTTAGCCTTCCATACCCAGTCAGTTCAGAAGTCAGTAAAGTTGCTGTTTTCACAGGGAATGCATCACAGACTAAAACAGCAAAAGAAAATGGAGCTGGTTTAGCCGGAGGAACTGATCTGATTCAAAAGGTTTTGACTAATGATATTCATGCAGACTTTTATATAGCTGTTGCAGAGATAATGCCTGAGCTTAATCCACTAAAGAAGAAACTAAATAAAAGATTTCCAAAGTTTACTCGAAAATCTGCTGGCTGTGACATTCCCAAAATGCTTGAATTATTTAAATATGGACATGAGATTGAAGTTGAAAAAGAAAAACAGAACATTCTCAAGACTAAAATAGCAACACTGGATATGTCAAGTGATCAGATAGCTGCCAATCAATGATGTTTGTACGCACAGACCCTTGAGTTCAACAAGTGAAGGTTTATTATTAAAGATCGATCCTTTGCTACCTAAAGAAGTAGAAATCACAGAAAGTAATACAGATGCTGACTGAAAAAGCTGATTTTGAAATAATTTCCAACAGATTAAGAAGCTACACTGAAAATTATAATACTGTGTAAAATTTTCCCATTAAAAAAATCTTTATTTTAAACATAAGAAAATAATTTTTTCTATGTCTGAAACTAAAAAAAAAAGTGACCTTGGCAATTCCATCCTGAAAGACTGTGAGTAGGCAAAGAGCCAGGTATAAAGGGTGGAGGGAATGAAGGTGTCTCTGAGGGCTATTCCAAGAGGCTCCCCTTCCAATTCTTCCACATTTTCTCCTCACTGGGGAACTGCAGTCCTACAGGACATAACTGGTCCCTCAAGAGTTTCTGTCCCTGCACGTCCATGCTGTGTTAATCACCACACCAGAGATGCAAGCCACCGCACCACCCATCAGGATATCAATGGATAGAGAATCACTGATACGCTTCAAAGAATGGACTACTGCACAGCACTGAAAAACAATGACTTGTTAAGATTACAAAACACAGAGCCGACTCGAGGAAACGACTTTGAGTAACAGATCTCAGTCACAAAGGGAAAAATACTTCATAACACCGTTGTTATCAACTAGGACAGATACGGGGGTGTGGAAGAGTGAACGGAAAAGGAGTAGACGGATAACAAAGACGGCATTACATCAGACAAGAGGAAGAAGTGTCCGAAAGGAATAAATCATTAAGCGTCATATATATATAGTGGGACAAGAGGTGCCTTCCAGAAAATAAAGGGGAAGGGAGAAAACTGTCTAAAACAATGACCAAAAAGTACAATTTAAGACATATTCTATTTCAAAACAATCCATCAAATAAACAAAGTATGACACACCTGAGGAAAAAAAAAATAACCAACAAAATTTCTATCCTATGGCACCAATTTAAGGTTGAGAACCCTTTTATCCAGGACTCACCATTTCCTTGCTCTGCTTTCTGTAGTTCAAAGGTCTTCACTAAAACACCACAAAATCCCTTCAGGAAGGACTTCCCAAGTGTGAGAGGAACACAAGATAATCTGGAGGCAGATGAATAATGTTCAACTCACACCCTCCCTTCCCAGTGGCTGAAATCTTCCTTGCAATTTAAAGAAATGCACAATGGTCCCTTTTGGTCCTTATCTGTCTGCACTGGACGAGTTCTTCTTCAGACCTGAAAGAGCCAATGAAGAGGAAGGATGTTCAAGCTGCAAGGAGACAAGGGTAGCTCACTGAGAAAAGAAAAGCCTAGGGCTCCGGGAGAGACTGGACATGTGCCAGACAGCAGGAGCAGAGCCCTAAGACTTGAAATGGGATCTTGCAGTCACCTGCTCATCCTTCAAGACAAATGTAGAGAAAAATACAATCCATGCACCAGATCAGCAGAGACTCAGCCCTCCTCTACTTCTGGTTTCTTGTAATACAGCTGTTTTAGTAAACTGTCCTGAGGGCAAAAACAAAGCCTTAATTCCTCACACTAAAGTGTATTTCTTACCTTCGTATTTGCTGTCCTGTACAGTTTATTTACACAGATCTTGTGGCCCAGAGGCAAGAAGTTGCAATCCCGAAATCACATGGTTGACAATTCCAAAAGTACATGGTTGAAGGCCACCAGCTGCTCGGTGGGAGAAGGACGGGCAATCTCCTCCCGTGCGATTAACTGCCTCTGAAAACTCACAGGAGGATGCAAATCCACAGTATACAAAATCACCACAACACCTTAATTCCCCTAAAGTCATCTAGTGGAAACTGAAAAATGATAAAGTTTTTAAAAAAGAAGGGATAATTAAAGTATATACAAAGTGTTCAGCTCTTGTGAAGTAAATGGTAAATACAGACACAGGCAAGGGACGCCTGTGGGCTGCTGAGAATCACAGCCTGACCACCACATCCAGGGTGCGGCCAGGAGATGAC